TCTGGGCTGCACAGGATACTTTTACCCTCAAGTCAATGATTTTCCCTTGGGGATGGATTATGAAATCCTCTCAATTTGTCTGAGCGCATGATAAAGCCCTCTCGCAGATAAATCAGATTTAATATTAAATATGAAAGGGCAGAAAGGGGAACCTGGGCTTGGATGGCAATGTAAAGGTCACAGGAGGGAGTATTAATGCCATGTCAACTGACACATATTAGGAAGATCTTTGAATCCTGGCTTTAGGGGGAATTCATTAGTTCAACTGATTCACTCCCTGGAAACCACCACATCAGATGTGCCAACTCACAGCAGTGACAGGAACCCCCTTATCCTCGTTGGTCCCCCTCCAAGAACAAGCTCTGAGAGGAGCTGAGTGGTTCATGGTCTGCCCAGGGTCCCCCCTACCCATCTGCCCCCCTGCAGCAATGCTTTGGCCATCCCCCAAGGGTCACACCTTGGTAAGGGAGGGGCTGACCAGCCTGGAGCTAAGACTGACACAGTGTCTGAAGTGTGTTTTGAGTGGCCAGTGTTCCCATAGACCCTCTCAGAGCCAGAGGAGCCATCGCGGAAGGGAGGAGCCCACCAAAGGGTCGATCTGGCCACCCAGATGCTGCCGTGGCTCTAAAACCACGTGGAAAGAGCCCCCGAGCGTCCAGGAGCGCAGGGTGAAGGCTGTGCTCACGAGGCACCTCCTGCCACACAGGTGGCTGTGCTGCAGTCTGCCTTCCCCTGCCTTTTTAGCAAGGGGACGTTTTGTACCAGCCAGAATAAAGCTGTGCTGCTTCCCACCGCTGCAGCTGCCGTGGGAGTCAGCGTGTGGCTCCTCCTGCTGCAGCTGTGTCAGCCCCACCTGCCCTCCCCTGCCAGGCCACAGCTCCAAGCACAGGACAAAGGCCATGGGAGCACAGTGTCAGTCCCTGGAGCGCTGGTGCCCGAGGGGGATCAGGATCTCACAGACAGAGGTGCCAGGAATCTCCTCTTCCCCTCTGCTCCGCAGTGGGAGCTCTGAGGATGAGTAATCCCTGCTGACAGCACAGACATGGCAGCTCTGGGGCTGCACCAGAGCTCAGGTTCACTCCTTCATTCAGAGCAGCCAGGCAAGAGCTTGTGCAGTTCCCTGGATAGCTCTGCTGCGTCCCCAGCTGGGAACCTGACTGTTGGGAGCAAGAGGGGGCAAAGCAGGGGGAGAAGTCCCTTTCTGGGAAGCAGCCCCTTGCTGTGGTGCCCAGGTGGAGGTGACAGGCTCAGGATGGGGCAGCACCTCCTGTGCGTTACCTGTTCCATGTTTACAGCTAAAATAAAAATCCATTGGAAAAAAATAAAGCTTTTTTTCCCCCATCCAAGGGGAACTGATGCTCTGGATTTATGGAAGTTCTCCACATCAGTTCCCAGCTGTGTGTCTGCAGCCGGAGAGGGGAAAGTGCAGTGCTGAGAAGGACGTGGGAACCAGCTCAGCCCAATTCCCCACTCCACACAGGAGGAGCCTGGAGCGCTTGAGAGGCTCTTTTGCAAGGAGGCCAAACCCCAACTGCACCTCTTGCCTGTGGTGTGAGAGCAGAGCTTGGCCCTGGGGCAGGGGGGAGCAGGCACTGACAGGGTCTGTGATGCAGCACCACTCCCAGGGCTGCCATCCCTCAGAAACCGCTGTCAGCTGATCAAGGACTGCAAATCTCTCCTGTAGGAACAGGCTGCCTCCAAGAGCGAGGAAGGGATATTTTAGAGCATCTAATAAAAGAGTTTAAAATGAAACTCTGTGGAACAATAGCCTCAGCTGAGAGCCGGCATCAGAGCAGAAAGTCAGGCGGGGGAGCTGTGCCACAATTTATTTCCTCTCCTTTCCTTTCAAAAGAGGGAAGCAAAACAAAGCAGACACCTGAGGCATCTCTGGCTGACACCGAGATTTAGTGAATGCTGCCATCCTGCGGGGAAGCCTCTGCTCAGCCCCGGGGAAGTGGGGGCCTCGGGGAGCCCCCAAGGGAACAGCAGGGCAGGATGAGCCCCAGCATCTCCATCCTCTGCCAAAATCAGCAGAGCAGCCTCACGTTAAGCTGGTGATCAGCTCCCTATGTCCAGCACAAACCATGCTGTTTTCCCGTGGCTGTGGTGTCCAGAGGGTGCTGGAGCTTCCAGCACAGCCCAGTAGATGCTGTGGCTGTGTTAATGCCGGGCCCTCGGCAGCCAGAGGTCTCCCATCCCCCAGCCCCTTCCCATGGAAAAAAGCTGGGAGTCTGCCCAGTTTTCCACCAAGAAGAACAGAGAATGAGCTCACACGGATGAAGTGGTTGTTTGTCACACTGAGGGTGTTGCAATTCAAGAGGCTTTTCATGACTTCACAGGCAGCCTCTGTCACGGCGAGGAGAGCAGCACTGGAGCCTCCCCATCCCGCCCTCCCACAGGCCAGGATGAATCACAGCCACCCAGGCTGGGGCAAAGCCTGGGAGAGATCGCCAGAAATTAAAAGGGGGGAAAAAAAAGGGAAGGACAGATCAAGGAGTCGGTTGCTGAGTGCTGTGGAGTCACCTGTGCTTCGGCAAAGGGGGTGGGAGACGCTGCTCACGTGGACTGTGACCCTCCTGTGCTCCCAGATCCTCCCAGGAACAAAGGTGGGACAACTTCAGTGGGCATGCTGGGTCCCTTTTTAGGCAAGGAGCCTCCCCATTACCAGAAAAAAAAACCCACTCCAAAACCACGCCAGGAAACACAAGCCCCAAAATCTCTAAATCCAGAAATCATCTGAAAAAAAAAACAAACCAACTTCCCAAACCCTGAACAATCCCCAATTTCAGCCTCAAAAAAGCATCACTGAATATGAGCAGCAGATGAGCCTGGCAATTCTGGGGCCTGACTCCCCATTTCTGCACCCTGCTGTGACCCCAGGATCACTGAAACACCTTTGGAATGCCGCAGGGAAGAGGCCAGGGTGGGAGCAGGGGCCCCACCTGAAGGCACACTCAGCTACCATTCCACAAGGACACACAGATCAGGGTCCTCTGAGGGGTTTGTCTTCGTGAGAAACAATTCTCTGGACAATTTTGAGGATAGAAAAGCAGAAATCAGCTCTTTGATTGTGGTGCCTTTGGTGCACAAAATACATTGCACACACGACAGCACAGGCCTTTACAATTTTTATAATAACATCTAATTATAATATCTGGGCATTACACCCATTCCCAAAACTGTTCCTGCCACTGTCCCACCATCACCACGCCTCCCAAATTTGGGTTGGTGGTTGCAAAATAACCACCCCTTCACCCCCATCCTCCTCCTCCTCATCATCATCATCTCTGTCCTTCTCTGAGCAGCTTCAAGGCTTCAGAGTAGTTTTGACTTGGTTACATTCAGTGGTGTAACCCTGTCATATCCTATTCTTAGTACAGTTCCTACAGATAAGCTGTTTTTCACCTTGCTAAAATAAAATCTTTGTTGGAATTCTTGACAAGGAAATGTTAAATGACATTTTAGGAATCTAACACAAAGGTGCTATACTGAAAGAGCTGTACTAAAATTTTATAGAATGTAGAGTTTAAGGCATCTTAACTGCCAAGGCCACCACTAAACCACATCCCCACTTGCCACATCCACACCTCTTCTGAATACTTACAGGGCTGATGGTTGCTCCAGTGCCTGAACACAAAGAAATCTTCCCTAGCATCTAATCCAAACCTCCCCTGGTCCAACCTGAGGCCATTTCCTCTTATTACCCGGGAGAAGAACCTCCCTTCCCCCCCACCATGGCTGGTCCAGACGTTCATCTGAGAGCTCGGCCCCCAAGCCTCCTGGTCTGAGGACGAGCCATACCAAGGCACAGGAACCGCCGTGCCCTGGGTGCTGCTCCGAGCCTGGGGAGCCCGGCAGAGCCTGCGCCAGACGGGAAATGACACGCGGCAGACGGGGAAAATCTGCTCGCTGACGGCGGTTTTCTCACTCACACCATCTCGCTGGGAATGTGCGCTCGCCTGGGAAAGGGAGGATCCCCCGGCAGCGGAGCCCACGCCCGCTCTGGGCCTGGGGAAGGGAATTGTGCCCGTCCGCCTGGAAGGAACCTGGGGCAGGGTGGGGCGTGACCCGGGGCACCTCCAGCACTAAAAACCACGCATAAAGACGGCGACGGCAGCAGCTGGACGGGAAACGGGGAACCTGCGGAGAAAAGAGGAGCCCCGCCCTGGGAGGGGAGAGGGAAGAGGGGAGAGGGGAGAGGAGAGGAGAGACTCTGGTGGGGACCACGGGAGAGCCCCGGGCGGGGAGAGGGGTCCAAAGGACACACTGCACACAGAGGGCCCGCAGGGAACGGGGCTTCCCCGGGTCACGGAGGGGCCACGAAGGAGGTCCCGGGGGGCAAAGGGAGCCCTGAGGGGAGAGGGGGCAATGATGGGGGAAGGAGGGGGGGGAAGGGGGGAAGAGCAGTAGCGCCTACGTGCGCCGCCGCCTCGGGGGAGCGCTCCCCACAGCGTAGGCGATCCCCCGGGACACAGCGGAAGCGGCGCGGCTCCCGAGCCGGAGGAAGGGGTGCGGTCACACCGCCTCTCCCACAGCGGAGCGGCCGAGCCGAGCCCCGCCGGCACCGCGGCGCCGGCACCGCCGAGCGCTGCCCTGCTCAAACATGGCGGCCACGCTCTGCCCTCGGCCAACATGGCGGCCGCGCGGCTTGCCTTGCGCAGGCGCGGCGGTGGGGTGTACGTCATCACTGTGCGCCGGCCGCGGCGACAGCGGCGGCAGCGGCGGGGTAAGGGGGCGCGGGGGGGGAGGGGCGGCCTCGGGCCCGCCGGGACCGCGAGGGGCCCTCCCGGGCCCGGCCCCGTCCCTGCCGTCCCTCACGCCCCTCCTGCCCGCGGCGTGTCCTGCAGCGCCCGCCGGGCCCGCTGAGGCGGCGGGGCTGGGCCGCGGTGCAGCCTCGCGCGCGGGCGGCCCCGTGTGCCGGCCCCGTGTGCCGGTCCCGTGTGCCTCCTGCCCAGGGGGCTGTGCCGGGCTCGGGCTCCGCGAGGCGGAACAAATCGCTCTCCTCGAATCCCGGCTCTCGGGGATCGCCGCCCCTCCCGTGCGGTGCCGGCCGGGCGAGCCCCTCGCCACTCCTTCGGCCCCCACGGGGACCGGGTGCGGTCCCCGGGCTCTCCCGTGGGGGTGCAGCGGAAGGTTTCGGGGGTTCCCGCAGCCCCTCTCCCCGAGCCGCCCCCCCCCGTGCCCACCGGGACCCCGCAGGTGCCGGGGCTGCCTCCCCCGGGCGCCGGGAGAAGGAGCTGCCCCGCGGGGTTCGCCCTCCCGCCCCGGGGGCCGGCGCTGAGGAGGCTCCTCGTGAGCGCTCTCAGAACCAAGCGGTGCCTGGGAAAGCCCGAAACCCGGCCAGTCCCGGCTGCGAGCGCCCTGGGCGGGGCTGCTGCGGGAATCGAAACCGATACGGGGCTCGCTGCCCTCTTCGGCGGTTGCCGGCGCTGCCTCCCCTCGCCGGCACACCCGCTGCGGGTCGGGGTTTCTTTTTTTTCCCCTTTATTTTTCTCATAAAATAATTTGGCGTGCGGGTGAGACTGAGGTAAGAGAGTTTTTTTCCCCGAACCCCTCTTCCTGCCCTTGGCTCAGAGAGCGCCTGTAAAACGAGGTCACCGAGCCGGGGCTCCCTCGGAGTTGGGGTGAAAGGAGCCCGGCTCCCCGTGTTTAGTGGAAAATGAGTCCCGCGGTGGCAGCCGAGTGAGGTGGTTCAGTGAAAGGGAAATTTTAGTTGGCCTCGGGGTGTGTTTGGTGAAGAGGGGGAGCTTTGTAAAGATGGGACTGGCATCGGAAGAACTGTCTTTGTGGCAGTGGGTGCCTTAAGGAGGTCATGAGGGAGCAGGCGGGATGGGCCCCGTATCGTGTTCCTCGTCGTTATCCTCTCAGTTTCACAGCCAGCTGTCGTCCAGGAGTTGGAATATATGCTGTGCTGGGCTCCTTATTTTTAAAAAGCACGTGGAAAGTTTGGTCTTATGCCCTGCACCCCCGGAGAGCGGCACAGCCGGGTGTGACAGGAGTGGAACTTGGGCTGCAGTGCAGAAAAACTGCACAGCTGTCCCAGTTTCTCTGGGTGTGGTGTGATGCTTTGCCTCTGCAGGTCACACAGTGCCCAAGTAGGAAAAGGCACTTGAGGTTTCAGGCTCCTTTGGCCACGAATCTGAAAGTTATTGCAGGCCTGTTGCAGCTCTGCCGTCTGACCACGTGAGCTGCTGCTGCTCGCTGTGGTGCTCCAGTTCACCTCCTCGTGCTCCCTCACCTCCTCGTGCTCCTGCTCCTCGGATTGCAAAGCACATCTGAGGTTCTTCTCTCCCTCGGGGCAGAGAGGGAGTGGAGCTCACTGTGTTTGGGAAGCACATCCCAAACAGGGTGTGCTGGAGTCGAGTCCATCGAGGGTCGCTCTTGGCAGAGCTGCCTCTCGTGGTTGACTTCACCTGCTTGACTTCTGTGCTGGGCAGGCAGAGTTTACTGTTTGTGTTTGCAGGAATAATTTAAGACTCTTGGAAAAGTAGAAAACAGGCTCGTGAGGAGAAGATGCTTGAAGTGCCTCAGTGGCAGGGAAGCTGTTTAAACTGCCTTTTAGGAATCCTGTAGCTGTGTAACTGTCACCAAGTGTGATGAGGGAAACTCACCCAGCACCAATTTGATGTGATTAAGTAACACTCCTTTATTACAGCCCTGGGAACACGGGGGAATCAGCTCCTCCTAAACGTGTTTTCCCCACAACAAAGTCCGTACAGTTTATAAACTTTATAGTTATAAAAGTTCCTATTCTTCTATTTCTTTTTGTGCTTGTCACACCTAGCTAAGTTCTGTTCTTCTATTTAGTTATATGGTAGTTATGGTCCAGCTGCTCCACTCTTAAATCTAATGAAATGATGATGAAATGAACGACAATCTTTGAAATGATTAGTTCTTTCAGGTATGTAGAGTTATTCTACAACAATCATTGCTCTATACTGTTTAGCTCTACTAACTGGGATAGGCAGTGTCCAGACCAAGACAGGGAGAGTGCAGGGGACTTCAAAGCAACTTTGTATGGCCCAGTGAGATTCCTGTGGTGCCATCCTTCCAAACACAATACCCCCAACAATTCTGGTGCGCCACACTTCTCCACCTTTAATCACAAATACTTCTCTGATATCATGAAATCCTGGTTATTTTATCCAGCTGCGTGCTGAGTTGCTGTGTTTTGTCTCCCCAGGACAGGCAGCAGCCCTGGTGTCCCACGCAGCGCTATGATCAGAGGTGCTGGGCGAGGCAGAGGCTCATATCTGACTGGGGCGAGACGCAACCACCCCAGCGCTACCCGAGGTTTTTATAACCACCCTCACACCCCGCAGGAAACCAGCCAAGGCACCTTTCTGCACCAGCAGTTCCTGGCAGAGCAGGACGCTGCAGTCTGCCCGCCGCAGGGCCCACACGAGGGGGCCGCGGCGCCGGCTCCTGCGGGGACACACCGGCCTGGTGGTGGCAGGGCGGGGGGCTGGAGGTTCTCCAGCCAGCGGCAGTTCCGTGGGAACTCACCCCGGTACTGCCCTCCACAGCGCTGCCGTCAGGAGAACCCGGGGAGAGACTCTGACGCTGTCAGGCTGAATTTCCAGAGGCTGTCGCTCGCCGGGCAAGACTGTGAACAGGAAATTCTGAGTATTTTCAGGCAACTTGGGGAGGGAAGGACTTGCACGGTTCATGATCTCACACGCAAACTTAAAACTCAAAAGAAGGAGGTCAACCGCGTTCTGTATAAACTCCTCAGAGAGGGCAAGTTGCACAAGGGGGAGGAGACGCCGCCGCTGTGGAGGATTGCCAGCCCCAGCTCAGGGAGGGAAAGGAGCCCTGCTGACCACAGTGCCAGCTGCACAGACCCAGCTTGTGAGAGCAGAGGAGGAGACAGGAGCGCGCTTGGCTCGGGAGACACAGACATGGCTGAGACGAAGGAGAAAATCTGCAACTACCTGTTCAGCGTGCCAGAAACAACGGCACTCAACCTTGCCAAAAACATTGGGTTTTCGAGGGCCAAGGACGTTAATGCCTTTCTCAGTGCTCTGGAAAAGCTGGGAGATGTCCACAAGCAGAACACAAACCCCCCACGGTGGTCCCTGACAGACAGGAAACGTGAGAGGATGCAGATGAGGCTGAAGGCCAGCACGTTAATACCGAAGGTGGATCCCACACCTCCTGAGTCAGGTCCTCCCCCTTCCTCTGTCCCTGTGTGTCCCCAGGAGGTGACAGCAGCTTTGCCAGCAGCGATGGCAGTGAAAGAAGAAAGTGTAGAAAATGGACAGCAGCCTTTGGGGCAGCCTGACCAGGGCAGTGGCAGTGACAGGGGAGGGGACACGGCTGAGGACACCAAGCCTGAGTTCTCCAGTTTGAGTAATTATGATAACTCTGAAAACGGCAAGTGGACCACGGATGATATCCCAGATAATCTGAACACTATCAACAAGCAGCCTGACAAGTCAAAATGCATCATGAATTCTCAGTCTTCCCCCAGTTACGCTGCCCAGTTTGAAGCTGCTTTGCCGTGTACGCCCGTGGAGAAATTGATGGCTTGTCAGGAGAAGAACCCAGTGAGTGGCCTTACTGAATATTCCCAGTACACGTACCAGCACTGTGAGTTCATCATGCTGGAGCAGAGTGGACCCTCTCATGAGCCACGGTAAGAAAATGTTCTACCTTTCCTGAGCTCTTTTTGCTTAAAATGATCTGACTTCACCTAAGTTCGCCCTCTCAGCTCTGCCCTGAAGGGCCTGCTCATTCATGTTTCTTTCATTTCGGAAGGATTAGCCTAGTTGATTCCTCGCATCAGCTTAAAAAATAAAACAAGGCTAAAATTTAATCCCAGGTAGCCCAGTTTTGGCAACCCAGCACCTCATCCTAAGTAGAGAGATGGGGTTCATCTCTTCACTAGATCCCATCTTGTTTAATTACTTGCCTTCAATTTGATTGTGTAGAGGGAAACTCGTATTTCTGAGCTGTCTCTCAAGATGCCCTCACCCTAGAAATGGTGTAAAGAGAGCCCAGAACAAAGTGTTTTGGTGCAGGTGTCCTGGGTTAGCTGAGGTGGCCCCACTCTGAACGTTTCTGTGGTGGAGCAGGTCAGAGCAGTTTCTGTGAGCCAAGCATGAAGCATGGCACTAGAGTTGGTGGAGTCAGTCTCTGGAGTCCTGCTTTCCCTTGCAGAATCATGGCTGTTCTGGAGCACCAGGGAGAGGTGCAAAACACCATATGTGCCACGCTGGGATATGTCAATAGATCTGCTAGACAGGAAAATTGGCCTAATTTCTAGAGACAGAGTCTCAGGGTTTTGTTGTTTTGGTTTTAAGGAGGGATCTGAATGGATTCAGCCCCGTAACCCTTCTCCAGATCTGGCTAGACCCATTCTCCTTGGAAGCAGGTTTCCAGGGCTGGAGGACAGAAGATAGACTTTGGTTGTTAGAGTTCACAGGAAGGAGAGGGACAGAAACATCAGAGAAGACGTTCATGTGAGGCAGCACCTCTGTGAGATGGTGTGAATGCCCTGGGCTGCCAGGGAGAATGCCAGAGGGAGGAGTGACCCTGAATGACCAGGTGCAGATGAAATGGTACAGGCTGCTTTTAAGCTTTCTTATTACTGGGCAGGAGCCACAGCAGAGCTGCTCTCTGCATACAACCATTACCTGTTCCTGGCACTTGTGGAACAATTCATCCTGTTCCTTCAGAACAAAACCTGGAGCTGCTCCTCTGTCGTGAACAGCACTGGAAGCGCGATGAAATGAGGCCCAGATGCAGTGCTGTTGGTGTACCCCTGGTATTTGCCTTCTGCACATGGCAGCCTGGGTTTACTCTTCCAGTCAGGAGCTGGCTATTCCTCCTCCCTTGAATTCCCAGAGCAGCCTACTTGCCTGCTCTGAGAGAAGACTTTTGCCTCTCGATTTACCTCTTCAGTTTTCTCTTTCTAAAGGTTTAAGTTCCAGGCGGTGATCAATGGGCGCCAATTCCCACCAGCAGAAGCAGGGAGCAAAAAACTGGCTAAACAGGAGGCGGCAGCCAATGCCATGAGGGTCCTGATGAGCGAAGCGGAGAATGGAAGGCCCAGTGGGGTTAAATGTGAGGAACCGCTTCCCTCCGACAGCTCAGAAGCGGAGTTGGTGAGTCCTGTTTGCTTTGCTCTGTGAGGCTGCTCAGGCAGTGTTTAGTCTGACAGTGGTTTCCTCTCTGCAGCCAGAGCCAGAGCTGTCGTCTGCAGCAGCTCCCCTCAGCCTGCTTCCTGGGAAGCACCCTATCAGCATATTGATGGAGTATGGCCAAAAGTCAGGGAACATAATTGAGTTCCAGCTGCTGTCTCAGGAAGGCCCACCTCATGATCCTAGGTATGGCATATTCTTGTCAGCTTTGGGGGAGGATGGAAACCCTTTCTTCACTATCCTTGCCCTTCAGCATTCTACCCACATTCCTGGACTCGTCACTGGCCTAGCTGAGTGCTCCTCTTATCCAAGGATTTTGGGCGTGGCTCCTCCAAGACATCTGCCTCCAGATGGAGACCCAAAGCAATGCCCTTTCTCAAAGAAAAAATGCTGTTTCTTCTACCAGAGCAGGTTCCAGTCCTGTACCCTACCTGGTGGTGCTCTGCTGGGAGTGTTAAGGGCCATAACAGTAGTGGGAGAAGGGGATAATAACCAGACCGAGACACCTATGGTTAACACTTTTCATGTGCTGTAATGTCCTGTCAGGTTCAGCTACTGTGTGAAAATGGGTGATCAAATTTTCCCTGCTGTGGTAGGAAACAGCAAGAAGGGAGCAAAGCAAATGGCAGCAGAAGTTGCTGTGAAGATTCTTTCTGGAGAGTCTGTACCCCATGTCTTGCCTGAACAGGTACAAAGAGCTTCTTTATAAGACTCAAGCGTTTTGAGTTGAATGTTCCCCCCCTTTTATTTCCCATTCCACTGGATTTCACCCCACAAGGTCCCATGCTGGCTCTGGCAGGGGTTTGCTGCTGCTCTTAGCCTGCTGTAAGTCCAGCTGCTCAGTATTTAACAGCCTTCTCCTGTCTAACTCCACTCTAGCCTGTCGCGAAGCCCCACGGTGACCAGTCCCTGCACAGCTGTGGGCCGTGGATTGCCGCTCCAGAGGAATCCAAGGTGGTGAAAGCGAAGGGTGTTGGGGAGCTCATCAAATATCTTAATGTCAATCCTGTCAGTGGCCTGCTGGAATATGCCCGCTCCAATGGGTTTGCTGCAGAGTTCAAACTCATTGACCAGTCAGGACCTCCCCATGACCCCAAGTAAGTAGCTGCACCTGGCCAGGAGGAAATTTTGCACTGCTGCTGTTGTCCTGGAGAAAGGACAGAAAGATCAAAATTGCAGTTTGAGATGGCAACAGGGCAAGCTGCTGCCTCTGCCAAACCTTATGACCGGATGACAATAAGCTCCCTCCACTCCCCTCCTCTCTCCACTGGGAGAATTTAAAAACCAGACTCAAATGCACAGGTTTCTTGGTTCCTTCATAGGTTTGTCTATCAGGCGAAGGTTGGAGGCCGCTGGTTCCCGGCTGTGACTGCACACAGCAAAAAGCAGGGCAAGCAGGAGGCAGCAGATGCAGCGCTGCGAGTCCTGATCGGGGAGTCGGAGAAGATGGAGCGCATGGAAGGGATGGACATCACTGAGGTAAATCTTCTGCCACAGGTGGGACTGTTTGTAGCCCTGCCTGTCCTCCTCCCTTCAGTCCAGTAGAAAAGTGCCTTCAAAATCAGCTGGGATGTCTTTGTTCTCTGCAGCTGTAGATAAAGCTGACGTAGTTTTCCTGAAGTGGGTTAGATGTTTCCTCAGGGCGCAGGCCTATCCTTCCATCCCGCTGGCCTCTGCTTTAGGGCTTAAATTATCATCAGATTCTTCCTCCAGGTACTCAAATGTGTTCCTGTGGTCGAGTAGGAACACGCTCATTTTTAATTATGTGACTTTTTTTATTACTTCCAAATTCCTTCGTGCTGCTTTAAAAATGGTGTGTCAGCTCATAAAGACTCATGCATCAGATAAGATAAGCAAAGCTGTCTGTTGTGTCAGGGTGGCTTGTCCCAAACCTGGGCTGCTTTAAGTGGCACTTAGAGCACTGTGATCTCTGAAAAGCCGTATTCCAGGCGAGGCAGCTGAGCACAGCAGCTGGGGCTCTAAATAGCAGAGCCATCAGGGAGGATTTTGTCAGTCAGCAGTGCTGGAGGAGGTGAGTCCGTCTGCAACGAGAATGACTGTGCACTCTCCTCACAGGCAGCCAGAGGAGGAGTTCCTCCAAAGCCAGGAGCAGATTTCCTTGGCTGAGTCTCTGGGAACAGGCAGGATGGGTTTGTTCCTTTGTGCTGCGGGTTTTCCCTGGCATTCTCAGGAGGCCATTCCTCAGCCTGTGGCTCTTACTGCCAGGAAGACAGCTTGCTGCTGTCTGATGCAACCAGAGCAGAACTCAGAGCCTTGGATGACCTTTTCCCAGAAATACCCAAAGGAACTTCACCCACCCCTTGACACAGAACTGTCCACATAATCAGCTCCAAACTGCACCACCCGAAGCTCATGTTATCTGCGTTCTGTCCTCTGCTTGGAAAGCTGCGCTTCGGGTTAGTTACTCCTTGAGCTGTGTTGTTGTGTGGCCTGCTCATGATCTGTGGTGTTGTGTCCCCACCCCAGCTCCCTGTGAGTGGCAGCACCCTGCACGATCAGATGGCCATGCTGAGCCACCAGCGCTTCAACAGCCTCACCGCTCGCATCCAGCACAGTCTGCTCGGGCGCAAGATCCTGGCTGCCATCATCATGAGGAGAGCAAATAAGGGCCTGGGAGTGGTGGTCAGCATCGGAACGGGTATGAGCAGCTTCTTCCAGCACGCTCTGAACTCTCATTTCCATGCTAGATTCCCTGTCAGCCACGGCTCAGAAACGACTGTGGCTGTGGGCCTCTCCAGAGAGGGCACAAAATGTTCCCAGGGCTCGAACGGTGTCACAAGTGATCTAGTTAAAGAGAGAGAACAAAGCAAATGTGCCTGCAGCTGTATTGCTCTTAATCTTCGCTTGCATTGCTGCATGCTAGTCTGTGCATCAGAGCGTGGATTCCTCGTGTGGTACAGCACACAATCCCCCAGCTTCTCACAGCTGCATGTACCTTATCTCCCTCCCTACTTACCTGCCAGCCTTCTACCAAGAGTGGTGGGATGCAAAGTCCTTGTGAAGGGGCAGCGCCCCTAAACCTGTGGCAGTTTAAGTGCCTGTCCCTAAAGTGGTGTGTGCTTTTTGTCACTTTATTTTCCTAACTGCTTGGATAAGGATAATGATTCAGTAGCCAGGGTGCTGCTGCTGCTGCTCAAGAGCCCAAAGAAGTAAGACTTGATGCAAGGTGAACCTCTCCCTCTGTCTCTGAAGCTGTGTCTTGACTTTGACACTTACCCTGTTATTTATTTGTTTATTTGTTTGTTTGTTTATTTATTTCAGGTAATCGTTGTGTGAAAGGAGAAGAGCTGAGCTTGAAGGGGGAGACAGTAAATGATTGTCATGCAGAAATAATTTCTCGAAGAGGCTTTGTGAGGTGAGAAAAGGGGAAATCCAAAGGAAATGGAGAGAGGCCTACCAGGAGATGCCTGTTCTGGAGGGTGTAGCTGAAACAGTTCCTTGCTGCACTGAGAGGTGCTGTGATCCTCTGACACTGTTTATCCATGTGTTGTTAAAGAGAGGGAAGTTATTTCTGATAAGAAGGGACCATGCCTGAGTGGTGCCTAAATTAGTACTGAATGGGAGAATTGCCAGGAGCCCAAGGGCTGCATCTGAAGTTTTAAAATAGAACCTCCTGCTGAGGCTGCTGGACCGTCGTGCAGGGTGCTCTCCAGCCTAAGCACAGCTCCCACCATCAACCAGGCACTGCAGGCTGGGTCCTCTCCTGGCCTTTCTGGGTCTGGGTGTAGAAGGATTCAGGAAAATATACTGCATCTGTTTGCCTTGATAAGTCAGCAGTCCTTTTCCAGAGGTTGGAAAGGGTTTTCCCAACTAAACTGCACAATTGTTGTGTGTATAAACATTCACTGTGGCACTTTTTAAAAACTGAAGTGAGATGGAACTGGACTGGCTGTTCAGTGTCTGCCCTTCAGTTCTGAACAGCAAAGCCAACTGCTTCCTTCAAGCCTTTGTGTGCTGCTGCTGTGCTCTGCATTCCTCAGCAAGGGAAGGTGTTGAGGGCAGGTCCCTGGGAAGTGATGAATCAGGATTGTGTCTTGCTTACTGTCTGCCTCAGCTGTTAATCTTGACAGCGGTGGCTGCTCTGGCACAGCAGAGCCTGTCAACAAGCTCCACCTCTCCTTGCAAAATCAGTCCCTGTGCAGGCTCTGCTCAAGGACTCTCTAGGAAGCTGCAGTTTTTCTTCAGTCCTTGACACTGTGTTGGAGACCTCGAGGTTTTTCCGTGTCCAGAGGCAGCCGTAAAAGACCCGTGTGGGCTCATGGTAACACCACTTGAGTTCAGCTGCCCACAGGACCATCCGCTCCTGATGCAAACTTGGTACTGGTTAAAGGTGCTGGTTGAAGACCTTGAAGTCTTCTTCACACTGAGAGCAGATGCATGCAAGCAGCAGCCAACCAGACTCCTTCCTCTCCTGCCAGTGATTCCCACTGCTCCCTGGACAGGACACTGCTTTTCTACCACTTGTCCTCTTTGTGGCAGAAAATCTGCTGGGTTTTTTGCCCTTTCTGTGCACCAAGCATTGTTTGTTGGCCTCCCAAGCACCCTCAGCTACAGCTCCTGGTCTCGCTCTCCCGCGCAGCTGGAGCGGGGAATGTGGGACCCTGCCTGTCAATGGAAGCTCTCCTTGTCTAAGGAGCAGAGCAGCCTTTTGACAGGATGGTGTTCTTTTCAGGTTTCTCTACAGTGAGCTGATGAAGTATGACCTGTCTAATCCCTCCTCTGCAGAAGAGAGCATTTTTGAGCCAGCGGGAGGAAAGAGGCTCAGAATAAAGAGCAGTGTTACCTTTCACCTCTATGTCAGGTTTGTGGGGAGGGGTTGGGTGACCTGTGTCAGCAGTGCTGTCACCCCCCTGGCCCTGGCTGTTTCCTGACAGTCAGTGCTAATGGGTTAGGGTTTGTTTTCTAGCACAGCCCCGTGTGGAGATGGAGCCCTCTTTGATAAATCCTGCAGCGACCAGGCGAGCGTGGTGGGGCAGCCCCAGCACCAGCCTCTCTTTGAGAACCCTAAGCAAGGCAAGCTGCGGACCAAGGTGGAGAACGGTGAGTGCAGTCGCTCCCTGCATGGTGGGGTGGCTCCAGTCCTCTCCTCTGAGCCTCTATGGTGTTCCAGAGCTTTCTTACCCTTCTCTGTGTATGCTCTTTTGGGATCTGAAGCACTCAGGAACCAAGGAGGTGGACAGATGGAAGGGCATTAGATAGAGTCCCTTCCCTTTCCCAACTGTGCCTGTTGGAACTGCCACACTTGTGAAATTTGCAGCTGAAGTTTGCTGCAGAACTCCTGTCTCTGCCCTATTTTTCAAGCACTGTTCTGTTTTGCTTCAGCCATGCTGAAAATTACTTGTGTGTATTCAATACCGAATGCCAGATTGTTCCCTGAACCTGGTGTCAGACTCGGAGGTCATTCTGGATATCCAGAAGTTTCTTGTGCAGTTTCTGATGGGGTTTGATTTACTGAATGTCTGACTCTGTGTGGAAAAGCCTTCTTTTCTCTCGTGCAGGGGAAGGGACCATTCCCGTGGAGTCGAGTGACATTGTGCCCACGTGGGATGGGATCCAGCACGGGGAGCGCTTACGAACCATGTCCTGCAGTGACAAAATCCTACGCTGGAATGTGCTTGGTTTGCAAGGGGCACTGCTGTCACACTTCCTGGAGCCGGTGTATCTCAGCTCTGTCACACTCGGTGCGAGATCCTCTGACCTTTGGGGGGCGGGATGGTACAGCTGGGCTGCAGTGACAACTCACCTGCCTCCCCTGTGTGATGGCAGAGTTTGTTTGTGGGAGTAACAGACAGAAACGTCATTCTTGGCAGAGCTGTTTGGAAGTGAAAAGGGAGTCTGTGGATTTTATGCTGTGGGTGGAGTGGGTTTCTCTCTGAGGTTCTGGATTTTTAGGAGGCACATGTGATCTAGGAGGGTGAGACAAAAACTGTGTGTTTTTATATCTTCCCAGAAAAATGTAGTCTGTAAGCCTATGTCTTAGACACCCAGGGTACACGTAGCTGTGCTGATCCACGTGCCATGGGCTTTGAGGAGCCTGTGAGCAGTGCTGTGGCTCTCGGGGCTTGGCTGGTCCATCACCTGTGCCATCCTCTTTCCTAACACCTTCCCCTCTGTCTCGCAGGTTACCTGTACAGTCAGGGTCACCTGACCCGTGCCATCTGCTGCCGCGTGGCCAAGGATGGGAACACTCTGAAGGAAAAGCTCCAGGCTCCATATCACATTAACCACCCCGAGGTATTGCAGCTGTGACACCTCTTCACCCCATTCCTCTGCCTGTGGGTTCTGGAGTCCCGAGGCGCTTTGCAAGGGGGTCACTGGGCAGCAGCCCTCTAGCCAGGGGCAGGAATTAGTGAGCAGAAACATAGACTCATGGGATATCCTGAGTTGGAAGGGACCCACAATGTTTCATCGAGTCCAACCCCTGCCCCTGCACAGGGTAAACCCAAGAACCTTCCCTCTTTGTCACCCCGCAGTTGGGGGGTTACCAGCAATGTCTTGATCTGGCACAAAGGGCACCAGAGTTGCCCCTGTAACCTTCAGCTTAGTAAGAACCTCGTCCTTGCCACTCTCTAAAGTTTAGGATGAGCTGAACCTGTGGGGGATGGGAGGGGGAGGAGGACTAGGTTAAGGAACCCTCCTGGCTCTCCCGCAGGTCGGGCGAGTCAGCGTGTACGACTCTGCCAGGCAGACGGGCAAGACCAAGGAGTCGTCGGTGAACTGGTGTCTTGCTGATGCGAGCGAAGTTGAAGTCTTGGATGGCACCAAAGGGAAAGTAGATGGGTAAGAAGAGCCTTTCCTGACACTGCTTTTCTTGCTGGGGAAAGGGGAAGCAGCTCTGAGGTGGGGAGTACACTCTGCGCTGTTACAGCACCCTACACGTGGGGAGGGCTGGAGGGAGGAGTTTCAAATGGACACGAGTAAGCACTCCTGAAGGAAACCAAAGTTGCCCAGCCTGGACCCTGCCACAGAGCCCTGCTGAGCCCAGAGTTCCCCCGTCATGGGATTTTCCCCGAGTCCTGTGTTCCTCTTGTCTCTTCTGAGCGTCACATCCCTCATTGCTGCCTGTGTCTTCCTTCTCAGCCCGAAGCTGGAAGTGTCTCGTGTGTCCAAGAGGAAAATGTTCACCTTGTTCCAGCAGCTGTGTGCCAAGCACAACCGCCAAGACCTGCTGAAGCTCTCTGTGTACTCGGATGCCAAGGAGGCAGCGACGCTGTACCAGGCAGCCAAGCAGTGCTTCTTCAGCACGCTGGAAGAGCTGGGCTATGGCAGCTGGATCCGCAAACCCCAAGAGGAGGAGAACTTCTCTGTCCTTGATACATAGGGAAGCACCCTGCAGGGGGTGGGAGGTGAATGTGCACAGGCTGCACTCGTCCTTCTTCCACCACCACCTCCTTGGAGTGGAGTCAGGGGCGTGCAGCAGTTTCCCCATAGGCCTGGCTGCCTCCTTCCTGCCTTTTTAAAATGTGCATGTAAATGATTCTCCTTTTTTTAAAGTGAGGGGCAGGCTCAGTCCCCCTTAGCTTTTATAGTTTTGTCTCCCCTTTTTTCGTTTTTAAAAGAAGGCACAAGAAATCAGAGGGATTCTCAGACTGTGAGCTTGAAACCTTTGGACCGTGCACTGCAGATCCCTCTGGCAGGTTTTGAGTCAAATTTTCTCTTTTGAGGAAGGAAAAAGCCTAACAAGCTACCAGGCTGGTTTTCTCTGTCTCTGTTGGAAGGTGACTGGCAGCCTGGCCAAGCTGGGACACAGGACTGACCTCTACAAGGCGCAGCAGGACCAGCATAACATTCTCCATTAATAACAAAAAAGAAGATTTCTGTAGCATTGGCCATGGGTGTGTTGATTTCTGCTGAGGGGAAGAGGGGCCTGGGGTGGGGTTTGAAGAGGGACAGAGGTGAGTTAGCATTTGCTAAACAATCAAGGTTGCTGGGTAGAGCTGTGGCAGTTCAGAACTGAGCCTCTTGCCTCAAGCGAGGGGCTCATTGGGCAGAGCTGAGCGCACCGAGGGCTTGGGCCAGCCTGGAAATGCTGGGGTAGAACTGTCCCAGCTCCTTCCCCCACTGCTGGCTCTAGGATGCAGTGACTCTTTTCTAGTCTCAGGAGGCCAGTGGTGGCTGCAGGCCCTGTTTGTCTGAGCTGAACCACGTGCCAGATGTGCTGGTGGACGGTGAGAAGCTGCTGGGGTAGTCCCTTTTCCTGTGCATGGCCTGTGCCAGCTTTGCCTGAGGTGAGAGTCGACACTGGTAACTAGGACAGAGACCAAAATGCTATGGGCATGGAAGTGCAGCCCAAAATGAGGAGAAGAAACCCCAAGTCTGGGAGCAAGGCCCCAGCTCTGGCCATGGGTCTCCACAGGACAGCCAGAGGCAGCCAGGCAGGGTCAGTGCTGGAAGTCTGGCTGTCACAGGTCCAGCCTGCCTGCCTGCAGCTGCCCTGGGACACAGAGCTGTGAGGGGTGGGACTGCCTCGACCTGGAGAAGGGCAGCAACAGCACAAGGACAGAGCTGGAGGCTCTGCTGTTTGTGGCTGCCCAAGGTGCTGTACCTGCAGCTACTGAGGCTCCTGTTGTGCTTCCCACACCCTCCCAGGACTGCACTCCCTATTGGGGTGCTGCAGGACCCCCCTGTGCTGCACTGACCCTAGACTGGACCAACAGCAGAGCGGAACACGAAGGTGGGACGAAATGGGACAAGCCCCTGGGATTGGGCTGTTTTAGGGGCAAAGCTCTTAACATTTAAGTATTGGGGTGCACCCCTGAGAGCAGGAGCTCCGGGAGCAGCAGCTGGAACAGCTGGGATTTCTCTAGCTGGGTGAAGTGCTGGGATTTAAATTAATTTCTAGCGTGCGGCTTCCCCTGGCCCTGTGTGCTGCCAGGCCCTGCCAGCCCTGCTCCCCGCAGCCGTGGGGATTAGTGGTATTTATAGCAAACACTCCATTTCTGGTTTCCCTGATGAGGCCAATTCGTGCCGGCCAGGGGAGCGCAGGGAGTGCTGCCGGCCCAGCCACGGCCGCCAGCACAGTGACCCCCGGCGGGGCCCGGCTGCCAACAGCTCCCAGCTCATGTTGGTTAATTGTATTTTCCCTTTCCTTGCATCTTGTATCTGCTCTTGGCTCCAGAGCACGGAGCCTGGAGTGGAGCAGAGGACAGTGACAGAGCTGGAGCAGCCCCTGGCACTTGCTGCCCTGGCCTTGCCTGCAGGTAGGACCTAAAAATAGCCTCCTCCTGCCTGGTCCATGTGCTCACCTCGAGGAGCCACGGCGGAGCAGCTCCATCCCCCTCCCTGTGCCTGTGTTCTCCCTGTCAGTGAGGCTCTGCCAGGCTCCTGGGAGTCCCAGGAATGGCACAGGGTTTGGCAGGGCCAGGCAGGGGCCATGGGCTGCCCGCTGGGGCTCTGGCTCTGCATGGCCTGGCAGGGCGAGGTCCGGGGAGCAGCTGGTGCCCATGGAGCTCCCTCCCTTGGCCATCGGGATTTTCCTCTTCCAGAGCCGATTTCTCCCTGTCCTCTTACATCGGTCACGGGCAGCCAGAGGCCCCCTGACCCCAGGTGCATCCTGCTCCCTCTGGCCCACAGAGCACAGAACAGTATGAAATGACACCAGATGGCACCAACCCCGTCCTGTGTGAGTATTTATTGGTTTTCAGGGGCTGCCTGAGCCCAGCACCCAGTCTGGCCCTGGGACTGGCCGTTCCCCGTGCTATTTGGATGTGGGGGTGCCCTGGCCAAGCTGCAGCAGGGAGTTGGTGGCGTAGTTCTGGAAGAGGGGCTGGAGGAACATGCCAACGGTGCCAAAGACGCAGACAAAGACGAAGATCCACAAGAAGAGGCGGTCGATGACCATGGCCACGTACTTCCAGTCCTCGCTCACCTGCACAGGGCCAGGAGAAAGGCCGGGTCAGGCTGGGCCTTGGGCATCACCCCTCACTGCCTGGACTGGGAGTTTGGCAGCTCCTCAGAGCCCCAAGTTTGCTCCCTCAGCAATGCAGCTCCCAGGGCTGCGTGCAAGCCTGCTCTGGGCCCCGTGGGGCTTGTTCCCCCCCTGCCACCAGCACTGCTGAGCCCAGGAATCTCATCTCCCCAGTGAGCAGAGTTGGGGGGTGGGGGGGGAACTCTGCCAAAATCTGCAACCTCACAGTGCCATACAGGGCCAGGCCTCCTGGCACCCTCATGGTTTTTCTAGAGCAGCTGCTTCAGTCTGGGGCTGCAGTGGTGGGTCAGGAACCAGCGTAGGAGCCTCTGCCCAGGCAGGGACCCTCTTGGTGCTTGTGCACATCCCTTCCCGTGGTGCAGCCACGAGCCAGCACACGCTCTGCGCCCCACGGCCCTGCCTGCACCCCACAGCTCTGCCTGCCCCCCATCTCTCTGCCCACCCACCCCGAGCCCTGCCCATCTCCAGGTGCACCCCCTGGACTTACGCTCTGGTCGTCGTCCTCACTGCGCATGTGGTCGGCGATGAAGCGCACGCCGTCCACTGCCTCCTCCAGCCCGCAGCTGCAGCTGGGCGTGGGGGCCGGCGCCTGGCCCTGCCGCTCCCGGTAGCCGTTGAGCCCCTCGGCCTTGGCAGCGCCGGGGTTGGCGTAGCAGGCGCAGGTGCGGGCTCCGGCGTGGAGGAAGAGGCTGGCGGCGGCCGCGCGCTCCTGGGTGTGCCGGCGCTGGCGCAGGCGCTGGCGGGCGCAGTTCTGCCGCGGCTGCTTCATGAAGAGCAGCGCCGGGAGCTTGTGGAGGAAGAGGGTGCGGACCCAGGGGGGCATGGTGTGTGTGGTGGGTGAGCGGTGGTGCACGTTGAGGACGCAGACGCTGGTGACGATGGAGAAGGTCACCAGCACCATGGTGAACATGAGGTACTTGCCCACCAGCGGCACGTCCAGAGAGGTGGGCGGCACGATCTTGGAGATGAGCAGGAGGAAGACGGTGAGGGCGAGCAGGACGGAGATGCAGAGTGTCATCTTCTCGCCGCAGTCAGACGGGAGGTAAAAGACGAGGATGGCCAGGGAGGTGATGAGGATGCAGGGGATGATGAGGTTGATCGTGTAGAAGAGCGGTTTGCGCCGGATGATGAAGTCGTAGGTGATGTCCACGTAGGTGGAGTCTTCAGGGTTCTCGTTGCGCCGCCCTGGCAGTGCCACAATGTCCCACTCACCACTGGGCGTGAAGTCGTCCAGGCTGGCCACCTCGCTCTTCAGCACCAGGTCGATCTCGGTGCGGTCGTAGGTCCAGGAGCGGAACTTCATGGTGCAGTTCTGCTGGTCGAAGGGGAAGTGCTTCACCTCGATCTTGCAGGCGCTCTTGTAGATGGCAGGTGGCAACCAGAAGATGCTGCCGTCGTAGGAGATCACTGCGTTCGAGTAGAAGGACACCTCATACATCCCGTCGGCGCTGGGGCAGAGAGAGGGGCTGTCGGTCCTGGGGGTACCTGGCCTGGCATCGCCCCCAACCCCAGGTGGGGTCGGGGCACGCACAGCCTCCCCCAAAAAACCACCTACTTGTTGTAGAGCACCACATCAGGCAGCCAGATGTGCTTGGAGGGCAGGCGGACCTTCTTCATGTTGTCAAAGTCCTCCGGCTTCCAGGTGAGGCGATAGTCCTCCCACTCCTGGGGACGGGGGCCATCAGCCCCGCCCGGCCACAGGGTGGAGGGGGGGACAGGGGAGAGGGAACGTGAGGGCCCAGCACAGGGGGTACGGGGGGCTGGGGCAGGGCAGGGCGGGCGTTAGGGTCCCACACAGGGTATCCTGGGGGTCCCCGTGACAGAGGTGGGAAGTCTTGGGGCAGGGTGGACACTGAGTGTCCCAGGGCAGGATACAGGAGAGGGTCCCAGGGCCACAGCAGAGTCCGGGGTGCTCACCTGTGTCAGCCAGACGTTCGTTGTCATGATCTGCTCCCGCTCGTGCTGCAGAGAGAGGGGAAGGGGGGGCAGTCACTTGGGGTGCTGGGGGGGGTCAGGGCCCCCTCCCTTGCCCAGCAGGTGGGGGAGCAGCGCCCTGGCCGACTCACCACGCTGATGAGCTGCGCCAGCGACACCATGAGCTGCACGGTCACCAGCTCGGAGCCGTTGGTCGCCGGCCGGATCAGTTTGTTGTACCGCGCGGGGTCCAGCAGATACTCCACCAGCCGCTCCTCCGTGTCTGTGCCCAGGCTCCCTGGGTGGGGCACAGCGTGAGAACCCCGGCACAGCAGCCAGGGGCAGAGACCGTGCCTGGCTCGGTGTGGGGTAACGGGGTGAGAGGTGCGGGTGTCACCACCGGGCACGGAGCGGGGGGGGAGCCGGGAGGAACACAGGGGGTTGCCAAGGGACGGCAGCGCCTGAGGACGAGCAGCTCGGGGAGGGGGGGGGATCGGGGCAGGGCTCGGGCTCCCCTCCGGCCTCCCCTGCCTGTCCTTCCTGTCCCTGCCCGTCCACGACACTCCCTCCCCCGTCCCTGCCCACCCCCGGCGAGGCCCCGCAGAGCCCCGGGGGGGCCGAGGCGAGCCGGTGGCACCGGGGCCGGTACCGGCTCTGTACCGCGTCCGTTCCGGGTCTGCCCCGAGCGCTCCCGTGCAACAAGCGCAGCCCCCGGGCCCGGCCCGGCGCGGGGCCGGTGCCCACCCCTCCCGACCCCCCGGCACTCACGTCTGAGCGCGGCGAGCAGGCAGAGGACGCGGAGCAGCGCCATGGGGGTGGCCCCGGTGCCGCCGCCGGTGCCCGGCGCTGTCCGCGGTGCTGCCGGGCGCTGTCCGCGGTGCTGGAGCCGGGGCGGCCCCGGGCAGGAGGCGGTGCCGGGCGCTGCGCCGGGGCCGCCCCGCGCTCCCCACTCCGCCGCCGTCACCGCCGCCGTCACCGGCCCCGGGGC